TTTGAATAATATAAGAGGGACCGCAGATAATTGGAACATGTCATACAAACAGCATGTTGATGTAACTGTACATCTTTGATTTCTGTGTCCCAAATTTGTACTAAATTTTTTTACATAGTATGTTTTCATTTATTTGTTTATTTATTGCAAACTGCTAAAATATTGAACAAATTCTAAGATTCAATTTATCGCTATTGATTCCTGGGAATTCCGGATTGTAGAATTTTACATGAGATGTTTTTTTTCAAATTTTCAATTTGCATGTCAGAGACATTTCATTGGGCCTTTCAGGCTGACGGGGGGTGGAGGGGTTGATGTGGGGCTGGGCAGTTTAATGCAGGGCTGGGCAGTTTAATGCAAACAGGCAGGCACAGTAATTTGTGAATTATAGCTGTTATTAACCCCTTAAAATCGAATTATGAATAATTAACCATATTAATCATCCATGGTCTATATGCTGTTCTTTCAAACATAGAAAAAAGTCTGTTTCACTCTGTCATACCTTCTTGGTTACTTCAATCTGTTTTTTTCTTTTGTCATTTCTGCATGTCTGATGACTAGAAAAATTAGTTGTTCTTGTGCCCCTGATCCTTTTACCCCCTCCTCTCCCCTCCTCCTCTCTATCCTGCTTACGTATTTGACAGTCTGGTATAACCTGCACAATGCTGTTGTTTTCAAACACAGGCTAAGCGTGGTAGGGAAAAAGCAGAGCAAGCAGAACCGGGTCATTTTGAAACAACCTTTGATGTGGACGGCCATATTGAGACCGTGTCCAGTCCACCAGCACACATCAAGGTGCCTGTCACATTCAGCAATTATTATTTATACATTTCACTGTAGTATGTAGCTGAGTGTTGCAGACTGGATTTGGTGTTAACACGTACAATGGTTGCACAACTTGGCATGCTTTCATTTCCACGCCCCCCTCCTCCACTCCTCATAATTGTAATTGCCATTTTGGCACTTTTTTCACCACAAGCCATGCAATGATAAATTCTGCACAAATTAGCTTTACATGTTGTTTTCCAATAGATGTTAGCATTTATACTTAACCTAAAATGGTTAATGAAAGATTATACATATTGACCACTAGAGGGCACTTGTTTTCTCCACAAGTTTTTCATCTGAGTTTGTTGTTTTGTTAACTTTTGTACAGATGTAACACCAAATCCAAACGTTTATGGTTTTATGCTTCTAGGCTTTGCTTTAAAATAATGATTTTGCTTTTTCAGGATTGCTGCCTTTGCCATGCCACATTTTCTCAAAATTGAATGAAATAGACATCTTGAGATACTTAGTAAAAAAAAAATCAAAACAAAAAAATGTTGTTTGCATTTTGTGTACATTATCCACATTGTATCATATTGCATTTAATTACAAGTACTGTGGAATACTTTATTTTCGCTGGAATTTATTTTTGCCGAAAAGGCTTTTTTGGCGTTTTAGATAGAATTTATTTTCACTGATTTTTGATGAGTTTAATGTGAAATATAGGAAAAAAAGTATATTTGCTGGATTTTATTCTCACAGAATCATTCCTTCAGCGAAAATAGCGAAAATTAATTCCAAGCGAAAATAAAATATTCTACAGTACGTGTATGTGCTCATGTACTGCAAAGGGGTTAATTATTCACCAGGTTTTAATTTTGCATATTTCACTGACTGGAAAATGTGCAAAATATAAAACCCAGTGAGCATGTAAAATTGAGCATAGAACACATTATCTAAATGATAAAACCGTGAATTTAAAACCCACTAAATATGCCTGAAATGGTAAATCAGTGAAATTAAAACCCAATGAAAATTAGTCATTTTACAGTGATTGGCAGGTGTGTTTGGGTCAAACCAAGCCATGTTTTACTGATCCAATATGCAATAAATCCAATTTAGTTTCTTGATAATATATGCTTCCGGTACTGAAAATACCAGTGTTTTCCTGAAATTCAAGCCAGTGAAAAATTACATTGGAATTTGCATAACATTTGCATATTATTTGCATAGTTATTCCAAACAGAAATTGTTATTCCAAACTTAATTACACAATGTACACAATTATTGACTTATAACTCTTATTGCATCAAGAGTGTTTAATACAATTTACACAAAAGTGTTCAACAGTTTATCAATTTGAATTAAAAAATCACCAATGGCAGAGTGGAAATAAAAAGAGTGGCAGTCGGGATAATGACTGCGACTGCGGCAGTGACAGTGTTAGATTAGTGTTGCAGTAAAACACTGTAGTGGTACTGCCACACTGTCTGTATCCTGGGGAGAACACTGATTACGGTAGATAAGTTTCTCAAAAAATTTCAACAAATATACCGGTATACTGATGTTTGGGCTGAGGCTGTATGTGGCATGGTTCGGCATTTTTAAGTACTGTTCCAACAGCTATTGCTTATATGGCTTGTTTCATAGTTGTAGTTCTTTCACTTCATATACAAGTTTTCAATAAATCACCCATATTGCGTAATATTTGCAGAGCTGTAAATGAACAATGTATGCATTTCAGTACAATGTGTAATTTGTTTGATCATGTCACTAATGGGCCTGTAATCGGCTGTCGTAATTCAACCACATGTAGCCTGCAAATGGTCTGTAAATCACTCAGTTTGCATGCTAGTGTTCGGTACTGACGTATTATGCTTGAAGTTTTATTTGTAATGGGCACAAAAACATTTTGTTTTGATGAGTCCTCATTTGCAGTCTTGAGACTATTTGGATTCATCTGTGTCTCAGTGTGTCTGCAAGTGTATCTCAAACCACAGTCCCTCTATCTTCATGCACTTCTTGTATTTATTCCTCAATGACGTCTTCTAAAACAAAATCCCAATCAATGTTGTCATCGTCGAATTCGACAAAATCGCCGTAGGCCTTCCACATGGTAATGTTGTGATCCGTGTGCTGGTAATGACGCATGCACAATGACCCAAATCGCAAAGTATCCAGTGGGTTAATGATATGCACGACTACATCAATGGGAGTTTATTTTCGGGATAACTTGGCGTAAGGTGTCAACGATTTGTTTGCCTGTTACGAGGGTTAGTACAATAGAATACTAAGCGTTTCCAGACCGGTGATAGAGGGACTGTGCTCAAACATACCTTATTATTGATCAGTTCTAGTCCACCAATACGTAGTGCTGCAAGAAATGTAATAAGCATAATATGTTAGTAACTTACAGATGAGAATTGTTTTCTTGTGGTTCTGTTTGGTTTCGTGAAATGAGAACTTTCTCTTTCTTTGATCGTAGGAACAAAAAGGAAAGTTTGATGACATTTTACCAGCCAGCTTAGAGTTCAAAGAAACAGGTAAGTATGTATTGATAGATACAAATGTACTTTATCCATTGTGATGTGAAATTCAGAGTTTTCAGGTTTGCACCTTTCAGGTATTGAGAGAATAACAAAACACATTATGCATCTGATTCTGAACATTCCATCCATCTATAAAACTAAAAATTTGGAAATGCTATAACTCGTGGCGAAATCCTATCATTGTACAAACTTTCACAAAGCTCATTTGCCATTTTTTGGCTGTTATCTCGTATTAAATTATAATTACAGGCAGGAAAAAGTTAAAAACCTTATCTCGAGAATACTGAAAAGTATGCACTCGGGCAGTATGGGATGGCATTGACATCATCTATGCATTGGTCGCTGTACTGCCTTTGTGCATACTTGTATTCCTATTATTGTACATGCACATGGTAAGATTTGTTTTTACATGGATTCAGTTGCTTTTGTTACTGTCATCTACTGTGAAATGTATTTAGGGGCAAATTTTCACAAGTCAATCAAGAAATTGTGTAGCACTGACCAGTGAAATTGCGACTGGTTCTTCTATTGACTATTGTAAAATGTTGTGTTCATTAGAGATCTCAAAATTTCTACCGAACAAAATTGATCAGAGATGGTATGGCCATCAAATTCGTTTTTATTGACTTTTTGACTAATACCTTCTCAACTCTGTTTAGGTGAAGATGCATTCTTGGCGTCGATAATCAGTGAGGTGAATGGAGCGGCAGTGCATTTTAAACTTGCACCCACGTATTCGTTGTACATGGCGTGTCGCTATCGACAGTCTCCATACTCATTACAGATGATCAGGACTCCTACTGAGCGTGCTCACAGAATGACTGCATTTGTGAACAAGATGGCTGACATGATAGAGAGAACTATTATGGTACGTTTATTAATTTTTTTTCCGTTCACATACTTCTCACTGAGCTTTTGGCAGGGGTTTCACTGGAGTAGGCGGCTTGATTTGGAAAGTAGGATGCTAAAATGTGACACTTTTATGTAGGTTGGTGGCGAGATCTTAAAAGAACTGAATGAGCCAAGAAGACGGCTATTTAGCCGGCAGTCATTTCTTAACAAAACCCCTGCTTTTTGTGATAACTTTTATTTTTTGTGATAAATTTGTTTGAACTATTGAAATTTTGCTTTCAATATTTGTATAAAAAAAATGGTGAAAATTTGACTGATTGTTTTTAATAATGAATACATTTCAACAGCAGATCCTAGCTTGCATGAGGAAACAGTGTGATTAGTTGATACATGTTTTGCACTGTGTCGTGATATGTTTACACTTTTGCCAACTAGCATACAAATGTGTGATGAAAAAATTCACCCGCTGATCAATACTTAACATTGGTCATAGATTGTTGTATTAACAGAAACGCGTACATGTATATATATTGTATGCAAATTTAAAAACAGCAACAAATGCCAATTTTTAGTGCGAATGACGGTTCTCGCCAACCAGTCACTGCACAAACACAGAAAATTAATTGCAACAGGCGATATATTCTTGTCTTGAATCACGCTATACATGTAGTTAGCCATACTTTGTACTTTGTAATCAGGAAAATCAAGATGTTGCTGGTGCGTTGTCATTCTGGATGGCGAATGCTTCTGAATTTCTTCATTTCCTGAAGCAGGACGTTGACCTTTCATCGGTCACGATAGATGCACAAGACATCGTAGCCGCTGCAATACAGCAGGCATTCAGGTATAGTCCCAATTTACTCAGTATTCTGTAATTTTCACCAATTCTGCAAAGAATTTAGAAGATGAAGGTTTGCAAATGCTGTGATATGCACTAAGGATTAAAATTTGGAATTATGATATACAATATAAAATACAAAATTGCAAGACAAACGTACCTTTCTACAAATATTTGCTTTCTTGCTGTTCATGCAATCAAATCTTTTTAAAAGTGGCGGAGAGTAAAAAATAGTTCTCCTAAAAGCACTATAGTGAAATATAAGAGTGATTTCAATGTGTCAAGAAATATTTTTTTTAGCCCCCCAAAATTTTGTGAGCGAAATTCATATGTGAGAGCAAAACGCTCATGAGCGATCACTTGCCTTAAAAGGAGAGATCTGAAGCATCTACCTCAGTCTATGAGGCTATTTGTTTGAAATGCGATTGACGCAAATCCAAAATTGGATCTTCAGCGTACACAGATAGCAAAGTTGAATACCTCCATCTTGTACTTGGTTTTGCTAAAGTTGCCAATGATTGTGAAATAGTTCTGGTATTTTTATTCATTTTTTGTTAGGTATCTTGTGAAATGTATGCAAGAAGAACTTGAGATTTCAATGGCAGCATTTTTAGATCCTCACGAAGAGGCTGACAATACGGACCATGACTCAATTATAGGTATGTAGGAAGTTGACATCACAGAGTTTGAGGTGGAGAGACTTAAAGGCAGAACTCTTCAGAGATCAAGTATTATATCAACACTGCTTTCTCTATTTTCTATCAAAATTGTAGTCAAACTTTGTTTTTGGACAATAGTTTTGTTCTGATTCTAAAAAATAAAACAATTATATTATTATTAAAGGGCAGTGATCATTGCGCAGCACATTTGAATTCATGTAAATAAACAATGTATTATAAATGCGTTGTATAAGTCACTATGAGTCTTGTACCGAACAAATTTTATGGTATGATTGTGAATGAATCACGTTTGCAGTACTCAGTTTTCAGATGTGTTCTTCCCCCAGAATGCACTGCTAGTTGTATAGTACAGTTATTTCACCAACATTTTCACATTCATATTTCAACAGATGACGATAGGAGTATGGATAGTCATCAGAGTTGGCGGAGTAAAGAGCGAAGTGGTCGATGGTTGATGCCGTCAGCGAGAACCAAACATGGAGGACGGCCAACACTCGGTATGCTCGCCTACTCGGTTGTTTGTGCATATTTTGGAAAAAAAAAATGGTTTCATTTTGTAGAAGATACATTTTAAAAAGAATTAAACTTTTTAGTTTTCCTTTTATAGTGTTTTCAGTCATCATATTTTTTTTTTTGGAAACAACCAATGTTGGTATCTTGTCTTGTTGCTAGGTGATGTATTACACACGTTATCATCTGCTATGACATTACTGCGTCGCTGTCGAGTCAACGCAGCTCTCACCATCCAGCTATTTTCGCAGCTTTTCCACTTTGTGAATATGTGGCTATTCAATAAGATAGTCTTAGAACCACGTCTAGGGCTATGTACACAGGAATGGGGTGCCAGATTGAAATCAAGGCTAACAAGGATTGAGTCATGGGCTGAAAAACAAGGCCTTGAGCTTGCTGCTGATTGTCACTTGTCTCGGATCATACAGGTAAGCAATCGTATATTTATATTGCCTTATGGGATGTGGGAGATATCCATTTCTCAATAGGCTCGTTATTCAGGGGATTTCATTCAACACATTGTCTGCTAAAAGATTTCACAGATAACCGATAAATAAAGGGGTCATCTGGTGATGTGTTACAGAGCGGTGGTTGCCGCCGCCACGCCCTGCTCGATTTGGGACTCATAGCGGCGTACAGAGCGGTGGTTGCTGCCGCCACGCCCTGCTCGATTTGGGACTCATAGCGGCGTACAGAGCGGTGGTTGCCGCCGCCACGCCTTGCTCGATTTGGGACTCATAGCGGCATACAGAGCGGTGGTTGCCGCCGCCACGCCCTGCTCGATTTGGGACTCATAGCGGCGTACAGAGCGGTGGTTGCCGCCGCCACGCCCTGCTCGATTTGGGACTCATAGCGGCGTACAGAGCAGTGGTTGCCGCCGCCACGCCCTGCTCGTTTTGGGACTCATAGCGGCGTACAGATCGTGTGTAAAATACATGGTTTACATGAAATTCAAACGTACGCTGCATGATGTCTACCACCCTTTAAGGAGATTGGTCACTTCACTTGTCTATCATTCACATAAATCTATAATCTACAGACCCAGAAAAGCTAATTAGAACTTCCCCAATTCATTTTTTAAATAGATTTTAATAGCACAACTCCCCTACTTACTCACATTACTGTGTTTAGCAGAGGCATTTCTAGCTCACAAGAGACATGATCAGATTACTATACTAATTTAAAATTGCAGAATGTTTGTGGCACAAGTCGTCATTGTATTGCTGTCTCGAATGAACTTCATATTTGGTTGTAACAGTTTTCATTCCACACTCTTTGTAAACTGACTGGAACTGTCACTTTGGCAGCTTTTCTTAGACATATTCTGCATAAAAAATAGGACTGTAGTACCATTTAACGAAAGCCTTGCTGCCTTGAATGGAAGTGAAATGCAATGCTGATTTGGAATTTCTGCTTTCACAATACTTGTTTCTGTGGTGTGAGTGCACCCACAACTACCATAGCTTCAAAGTGAACTTTGAACACTAGGTTGCAGTCGTTGTGCCGCGTCCTGTTCGACGTATACAATGCGTGGAATTCGAATACACGCTGCACGAAGACGATCGCCCTTCAAGAATGTCTGATAATAATATTTATAAACGATGGCTGTTTGTTTTCCAGGCAGCACACTTGCTTCAGGCTCCCAAGAGCAGTGCCGATGACATTGCCTCTATTAGCTCAACATGTTTCAAGTTAAACTCACTGCAGCTACGAGCTCTGCTTGAGCAGTACCAGTCAGGAGGGGGCGAACCGCATATCCCACATCAGCTGATTGATAGCGTTGTTGCAGTGGCGCAGAATACAGCTGACGAACTGACTCGTAGTGATGGCAGAGATGTCAAACTAGAAGAGGATCCTGATCTTCAACTTCCATTTCTGCTTCCAGAAGATGGCTACTCATGCGATATTGTTCGGGGTGTACCAAACGGTCTTCAGGAGTTTTTAGCACCCCTAGAAAGCACAGGTAAGTACCTTAGTTGTTCGTGTCATGTGATATCCGAATTAATTTCACTTGAAGTATTGTTTGTCACCTGTCACCCAGTTGTATTATGGGTATTTATTGTGTTTCATAGGCATTATAGGTTGGCAGAGTTTTATTTTTTTATTTTTTCTTATACAGGTTTGTGTCGATTAACAGTTTACTCTCCTGCTAAAGGAACATGGACCGTGCATTTTGCCGGTGGCAGTGGGGGCGGCGGTGGCGGTGAGATTGTAAAATCACCCCCTGGTGATGCGTTTAGTCCTGAACAACAGCAACAGTCACCCCAACAACAGGTATGGTTTGCATTTCAGGCATCCCATCAAACTCTTCCTAGCTAACTTTAAACTTATCATTTGTAGTCTTCCATCAGTTTACATGTAGCTAGTTTCTTATTGTTCAAGACAAAATTGTTTTTAATGTTAACATTTTATTGAAAAACAACCATGGAAAAAAAAATAATCAGTTATTCACTAAATTTGTTAAAAAGTTCTTGTAATAATTGGGGTTATGTTAGTCACAGCAATAGTTCAAAGAAGCTAAAAATAACAATGTCCTTGGAATTAATTGATATTAATTATGATTTTTAAATTACATATAACTGTGAATTAATTAATTTATTTAAATATTTTATAATCAATTTGTTTGTACTGTTACATAATAGCTGTTATATCAAAGCGTTTTTGTGACCTCGGTTAGTACAGTCGTAAATACTGGCTGGAAAAATCCTACTCTGCTGCTATATACAACAAATGAATTATGGTTTCAACATTTCTAACAAGATATTTCCATTTTCGATAACATTTGTTGCTAAAAGATGTGAATTATGTCATGTACTGTAAAATTACGTCGGCGCGAGTTAATGCGAAAACTCAAGGTGAATAAAAAAATTTGTTTTTCATTTCAGTTAGGATTGGATTTTTCTTTAACTCATCTGTCGGCGAAGTGGGATTATTTCTTTATTAACCCGTTGATTTGTTGCACTTTGATTCAAAATTAATATTGTGCTTGTAATGTGCTGGCAATGAGCAAACCAGACATTGAAAATACATTATTATATTGATTGTTATTAATTATTACCGTAGGAGTTTATAAAAAATATTGCTTCATGAAAAATTATAATAAAAGCAGGAAGCTAGTTAGTTTCAAAATAAAGCCACCAATGGGTATCAATTTTAGAACAACAAATTGACCAGAAACTTGGTTTTCTACATTTTATTACTTCATTAAATAGTACCAACAGCACATAATACTTATAAATATATGTATATTTATTTACTAAATAAATACATAATAACCCAGGTGGTGTCAACATGAAATTGACAAATTATTCATATCAATGTCCAAGAACCAAGACCATGCTTCTTGTTTTTGTTAGGATAGATCAGTTAAAGTTGAGTCTTCCAGATTTCTACCCTGTCCCCAAATAAATATTAACTGCAGATTTGTTGCCACTGTATTAATTATAAAATCCTGCTCACTTGAACTTTATTACAAAGTTTATTTATTTTGTAGGGTATTCCATATGACACTAACATTCCACCTGGTGATCCAGAAAACTATTCTGTAAAGTTTGTGAAGGGGAACACCGGGATGGGTCTGAGTATTGTAGCAGCCAAGGTAAGTGTTCATTTATGCTTTTTTATTTTCAATGACAGTTCAAATTTTTCTTGGCAGATAAAATTTCTAGATTTTTTTTCTTCAGAAAAACATCTGAATGTTTAAATGTAGCTTGTAAATCATTACTATGTTCTGTTCTCCCAATGTCTTCTACATCAGTTTGTGAACATTTCTACAAATAACTATTTCATATTTCTTTTATTTCTCAATGAATCAAAAATTGGATTGATTTTATGCGGTAATTTGACTTTGCTGTCTACAAAATCAATAACTTTCTTCTATTTAACCATTTAACCACCATCTTTACATCACAAAATAGTCTTGTTTATAGTCTGATCATTGGGACAGAAATAGCCAAATTTTTTTTGTAAAAACTGAAAATTTACTCAAATTGTGTCTGTTGGCTTCAAAATTAGGGTCCATTTCCTGAAATATTAAAAAATATAAGAAAGTGCAGTATAATTTGCCTGAAAAAGTCTGGTGGTAAAAAAAAATATTGTCTGTCACTGTGCAGTACACTTTAAACTGTGAAAACATAGTGTATTTTACGCATATTTTATGTTGCATGGGACTTGTTTTGAACTGATGTGGTATAACAACCATGTTACAAATGTATGATGGAAGGCTGAAAATTGGTATTTGTTTTGTCTGTCTGTCTCGTGTAAAGTCGCTGGCAGACTGCAATCTGAAACCAGACCTGAAGCCTTATTACCATAACAATGAGTTTAAATTAGCGTATCAAATTAGCATAACAATATCATTTCACATGATATGTCAGTCAAATGAAACCATATCTAGTTCAGTAAGTGAGTGCGGTATGCAGGTATGCTTCCTAGCGTGGTCAGCAATTGTACAGTCTAATGATTGCCTCAAACTGTTTGTGAACTAATACCAGGTGAGGTAAGGAATAATGTCTAAAATTCTTCAATTTAGGCATTTTTTCACTCTCTTAATTGTCTAAATTGTGGATTTATATTTTTTTGAATCTATTGCTATTTCTGGGGTGAGTTGTTCCTGGTTTTCAAATGACTCGTATGCATACATCAGTATGTGTATTCAGGGTAGCTGGTAGTTTATCCTTGTTAATTCGAAGGAAATCACCTGTGTGAAAAATGGCAGAGAAAGTCGATGTCTTTCGAATAGTGTTTTGTGACGAGATTATCATGACATATTGTATACCAGTGGTGACTTTTCTGGAATTTCCAGTCATTTTTTTTGTGCTATTAATTAGTTATTGGTCTGATATGTTTAAAATTAGACCTGTTTTATCATCTCTGCTGAGTATTTGTTTGTCTGGAACGTCGAATAGATTGGGTGAATGAGATTGTGTTTTAACAGGATTGTGGTTTAAATGTTGTTCTAAAGGTGAATTGCAAATAAGCAACGAGTCAGACATGTGACAGATGGATGGATTAATTTATAAAATAAGCGTAGTAGATACCCCCCCCCCCCTCCTCATTCAGTTGTGATATGTTTTTGTAACTTTGAGCTATCAATGTTTTGAAACGTTGTCCATTTTTGAGATGTTGGTTTTACTGAGAATATTCTGTAACAAAATTGTGTGTAGTTTGTAAAAGGTGTTACTACACATTTTTAGACTGGAAGCAACCATTATACTTCAATGGAACAGTTCAAAGGTGAGGGAATGTTTGGGGTGTATGCTGAAATTAGATCTGTTTATGAATTTGACTCTACTCAACCTGTTGGCGCTGCTGTCTGCAGAAATATATTCATCTGAAAATTTGCGTAAATTTTATTTCAAATTCAGACAAAAAGCGACGAATGTCGGCTGTAAACACAGCCCCTTATTAGAATAATTGTTCAACAGTTTTTGATATGTGTTGTATATTGAATGAAATATTGAATGAAACATTTGGCAGCTTGTCAATTGGCATCACTTGTTTTTACGTATGCATGTTATTTCAGGAACATGGTGTAGTATACGCTTGCATAATGGCTGATGCGGTGTCTGTTTTCAGCTATTGACTCGGACGTGATGTGATCATAGAGCGTGAAATTGATAGTGGTACGGTAAACATGTACTATTGATTGCCTCCCCCCAATCTCCACCAGATGGAATCCGTACACATTACAGGTCCTTTACCTCTAACACTAGTGCTGAATTTGTAATAACACTCACGTAAGACTTGCCAATCGTTCTTTGTAACGTCAAGGAAGTCCTGTATACAAATCTTTTATTCTCCGCCAACAAAACATCTGCTTGCTGTTATGCATCATAAGAATGATCAAAATAGTCTATCCAAACCTCAAAATGTCTATTTCTGTCTGTTTTGGTTCAAAATTTTCTAAGAAATTAAAAAAAAAGATTTTTAGTGGAAAACATTAGAGTTTTTCATCATTCAAGACTTTTCTTTCTTTTTTTTAAACACTGTAACTTGTGACAGAAATATATTTTCTATAAAACTTTCATCTAACCTGGTTAATGTTTTCACTACCAGACTTTCTTGCCCAAGTTTGTCTGCACATTCTTCCATGTTTCTTGAAATGAACCCTAATTTTGGAGTTGACAGACAAAATTTGAGTCAAGTTTCAGTTTTTATTCGAAAAATTTGTCAATTTTTGTTCCAATCTTCTGAAAGAAAGTGCAGACTATAAAAGGGACTATTTTGTAATTTTGAATGAAAAGGGGGAACTGGTGGTGAAAAGGTTAAATCTATATCCATGTGGATACTGCTCACATAGCTCAAGTTTTCTTGCTAATTAAAATACAAATGATTCAAAAATAGTTTATCAGTACACATTATCAATAAGTTCGTGGACTTCAAATATAGTAAACAAACTTAAAATCATAAAAATATGACATTTTCTCAATAGAAATGTTTCATTGTTTTGTCTAAACATGCCACACCCAGTATTAAAGCTAAATATATACAACTGTGGCCAAAATCGAATCAGTTTACAAACCAGTGTTCACAATAGTGAAAATAATTCCTAGTTGAGATGGAGGATGGGGTTGCCATGGTGATGTCAATCTTCTTTTACAATGTGACAATAAGATTACTGTAATTTTCTGATGTTGTACTGCATTTTCTCTCTTTTTTGTTTTCTAGAATGCAAAAAATTTGAATCTGAAATCAGAATGTATAAATTTTGCTTGTTTTATTTGTTGAAATTGCTCTCTCTTGATGGGATTGTGTGAACTCTGTAAATAATTACACTGGTAATAATTTGACTTCATGGATCAAAGCTGCGTTATTAAACGACTAATTGTAGAGTTCATTTCTCTGGGCCACTGATTTAAATAACAGGTGGTAGGGAGGGGTTGTCCCGGAAAATAGTTCAATTATGGAGTTCATTGTTGTACTGTACAATCACAATCACAATCGTTTCCCCAGATCAACACTTCATGCAAATTATGCTGGCCATGTGAGGGGTCCAGTAAGGCCAGACTTTTTTTATTTCTTGTTTCTCGAGTTTTTATAAGGCAATTAAAAATTAATTTTTTTTTTCCATTAGATTTGTGTGATTCTCATATAATTGTAAGTGAGATCATTGATCGGAGATAAGAAATGAAATAAAATGTTATTCCATGTATAACCTTGTTTCTCATCTGCGCAAGATTTCGGTACTTTGATCATGATACTCCCACGAAAAAGGCAACTTGGATTTGTTATGCGGCGGGCGGAAAAAAAAGAAAATAGAAATAAGTTTTTTTCAGCAATGTTTTGCACTTACAAATCGGCGGGCGCAAGAAATTACGCTGAAATAAAATTTTATTTTATTTTATTTTCGGCTCCTGTTCATTCGGCGGGTTCGCGAAACAAGGTATAATAAAAGTCTGTTCTAAAGGTTAAATAAAACCACTTTTTGAAAAAAGAATTACCCAACCCAATTTAAATTTTTTATCAAGAACTGTAGCCAATGAGAAATGTTTGGTCCAAGATTATTTAAAAAATTATTTAAAAAAATTAGAAAATGCTACACCAAAATGTTGGTTGGAAAACCAATGGCTCTCAAAGAGTTAAATTTATCAATATTTCTTCTTTTTTGTAGGGTGTGAATCAAAACCATTTGGGTATCTATATCAAATCGGTCGTACCAGGAGGTTCAGCAAGTCATGATGGCCGCCTTCGCGCTGGAGACCAGCTACTGAAAGTCAATGGAAATAGTTTGATAGGGGTGACACAAGAAAGGTAAGATTTGTTATCTTTGGCATATAGTGCTTACAATAGACCATTTTCCATTCACTGCGAGAATCACGCGTTATGCGTGAAATCGAACGTAAAAACAGGACAAACAAAGGTCATAGCGTCGTAGTGGCGTCAAACATCGCGTGGGATTCGACAAACGCAAAAGTATTTTGGGGGACATTTCCATGCTTAATAATGTGCTGTCCACATTTGATGATAGGCAATTTCGATTAAGTGAGGGTATTCAAAAGCAATATTCCTCTGTCGAAGATCGGCCGGTCGATGTGAGCTACGAAATAAATTTGAGTTCAAAATCAAATCATTCGATTTTTGCGGCAGACGTTCGACGCGCGTCTTTTATGCATTTCGAGAGATCTCGCAATTGTACGGAAAATCACCTATTGTCTGTCATACATATCAGAAGCACTATCATAGACATTAAACCAGTGCTTTTTAGAAGATATTGGATTCATGATTTGATCAACATGTGACAGACTTGAAAATGCATAACTATCATATCTGGAACAGCATTTCAGATAGATTCAACCAGTGCTTGTAATAATGATACCGGGAATCTGCCATCCCTGATGCTTTTTTGTTTTTTTGCTATAAATAGAATCGTTTGGCCGTTTTTGCTGGCGGCAAAATTATTTGCATGTGGTTAAGTGAATCCCTCTGTGAAATTGCAAACACGCACAGAAAAACAGTTGCATTGACAGACGATTGTTAATTGTTTTTTAATTTAATCAATGTTTATTTCTTTATTCAGAGCTGCTGAGTTTATGATGAAAAGTGGACCCCATGTGACTCTTGAAGTTGCTAAACAAGGTGCTATTTTCCACGGTCTTGCAACGCTTCTGAGTCAGCCTTCTCCCATCATGCAACGGGGTAAGTTTCTCTGATACAAGTTCTGTTATCCATTCAGGTCTTCTCTTAAATAAAACAAAAAAAAGGAATTTGTCAATGAAGAGCAGCTTTAATTTCAATTCAAACCCCAGCCCCAGTATAGGACAATGTTGTTGTTTAAGGAAAAGAAAAAACTAAGACCAAAACAATGTGCTGATGGAAATTAAAAAAATACAAAAGACTGAAAAAAACTTTGATTTTTGTGTTTAATATCTAGCATGCATTTGATTGATTCCCATATACTTCGGCTATTTACGATACCCTTAGTTTTCATGAGTTTAAAAAAAAAATCCGATTTTTCAATTTTCTGACTTGAGGGCAACATAAGTTTGTTTGTTTTTTGGCTTTATTTACACGTTTACATCAAATCCTGAAATTGTTTGTGGGGGGAAATTTAAGAGTTTTTACAAATTTACATTAATAAGCATGGATATCTCGGCAGGTTTGAGGTTGCATCATAAAAGCATTATAAATTACATAAAATCCATTGTCAACTACTAGATATACATTTTTACCTTGCCCGTATCATCAAAGATGGAACAGAAAGGTATATTAAGGGGAAAATGTCTGTCGTCGATATTGTTGTCATCGTTGTTAATAATTGTCAATGTGTTCACAATAACTTTACTAATTCTATTCCAAATTGTGGTCACCTAATTCATCAGTATAAAATCTTCCTTTACTATGAACGACAGATGTCCTGTGTTTTCATTTATATTTCCATCCCGTAACTGTCATAATTATCCCTCTAAATTTGTAATAATGAATAATCAGATTTATTTTCATTTTTACCAACAATTTTTTTTCAAAATTCATGGAAAAAGTTATTTTGTCTGAAGACTGTGGAACATTGAATTTGTATGGTTCTAACACACAGTACATAATCACTATTCGAACAGCAGAAATAAAATCTATATAAATTTTCACTATTTCAGCAATGCCACCTCGACAGTATAGTGGAAGTATTGGTAATAGACCGCGGCCGAAAAGTGAAGATGTTTTGGGGTCAATGCGTTCACAAAATGATCCTCGATGGACATATGAGCATGGTCAACGCGACAGGCTAACACCACACAGAGAGGCAGAGGATATTCCACGTGGAGGATATCATATGCAGAGCAAAGAAGTGGATAAAGCAAAATCTTCACCCAATCTTTTAAGTGAGTTGTTATAGTAATAACTGTATTTGCACTATTTGAAGTGCATATAAACCAAAAATCACATTTGTGGTAAACGGAATATTACACCACTGTAATTTTTGTAAGCACATGGGCTACTAATGGAGCAAATATGGTACTGTCATTCAATAATGCCAACTTGAAAAGCAAGGCTTTTACATAAAGTCGTGAACCCAAACATTGAAAGCGAGTGATAGAAAAGTATGCATTGCAGATGTGTTAATCCACCTTATTGTATAAAACAATTTGAAATACTAGCCCTTGAAAAAAGTTATTTTGAAATTGTTAAAAAGTTTCATTTCTGAGTGTCTGTGTGACCTTGTATCTTTATACAAATTTAAAGCGCTGCAGTTACGCCATGTCATCTTTGACATTGGACATACCACTTTACAACAATTGTAAAACGTTTGTTTGTATGACATTAGAACATGCACGGCATGACGACTATAGAGCTTTAAATTGCCTTAATGGTTTATTCCCCTACATGTAAAATTAGACGGCTATATTCCGATGATGCTTTAAAAATTGTACTCAAATGTAAAGAGAAAATTCCCTTTTGGATCGACCTCCTGAGAAAACTATGTGTGAATGTCTGTCTAGAAACTTGCAAGTTTAGAAAAGGGGTCTTCAGAATATGTAATATGTTGATCAGAAGTCTTTGGCAATTGAACTATATCTTAATTCAACTAATTCTTTAATTATTTTTTTCTTTTAGACGACACTGCAAGTGGGCCAGATAGAATGCGAGGAGCTTCCACAAGTGATCTGTATGAGAAGTATAAACAGGATCCTTACCGCACACTGCCCAGAGATAAGAGTAAACATTCGTCTACTTCCAACCTTCAGCCCCAACAAGTGAGGCCCGGAATCCAGCAACCTCCTCCTCCTTCTGACACTGCCATGCGATCAAAGTCAACTTCTAACTTAGACTCCGGCCCTTATGAAAGGAATGATAGATCCGTACGACCGGCCCAGTCTAGTATCAACGTGAGAGGTTATGGGCCGCCATATCAAGACAGACAACAGTCTCCATCTCTGACTCGTCAAGGTCAAAAACCTGCTACTCCGGAAGTTCAAAGATATCAGCCATCGCCTCGGCAGACTGGACCTCCACCACAACGGTATGGACTTAGGCCAACTGCTGCATATAGTGACAATCAACCAAGTTCTAAACCACAGACTCCACAATCTGTGAGTTCTGTAGGTTCAAGATCTTACAGGGAACCTGAGAGAGAGCAGCCACTGCATCAAAAGCCTTATCAAAGTCCTATTGATACCTATCGACCTCCTGTTCATCAACCAGCAGAACAGACTCAACCACCTCAAAGGACCTACACTCCACAACGGGAAGACCCTCCTCCACCTCAGAGGGGGTTCCCTCCACAGCGCAAGGAGCCGCCACCAGCTCAAAGGGGCTACACATCACAGCGAGAGGAGCCCCCACCACCGCAGCAGTCGACCTTTAGACCAACAGACATCTATGCAAAACCTATTCGTCCTCAAACGCAGAAGCTGTCCGCCCAACAACAGCAGCAGTCTCCGCCCAATCAACAACCGCCCCAATACAAGGATGTCAGATCACAGTATAAACAAGATGTCTACTCTTCTTCTGACCCACTGCCACCTCCACCACCAGTAACAAGTTATGACAATGTTCCTTCAGATTTTCCTCCACCCCCACCTGACCTGCCACCACCAGATGATGATGGTAGAAACTACTCTCAACCACCACCACCACCTACTCAAATGGAGATACAACAGCACCAGCCCCCTCCTCCCCGATTGGCATCTGCTACACTAGAACGGGATCAGAGAAAGAAAGAATTGTTGGAAAATCAGAAGCGATGGCATGATGAACAGAAAGCCCGTATTCACGAAGAGAATAAAGTCAGGATGCGAGAAAAGCAGCGTCCTGCAGATATACCACGTGCACATTACGGCACAGTTCCTGGAGCTGACCCTCAGCGGAATAGATACTCTGAATATATTGTCCAGCAAAATGAAAAACCAGCTCAAAGCCCGAATAGAGCATCTGCATATGGTGATCTTCCAGTCAGGCAGCCTCCACCTATTAAAGAGAAACCAAAGCCTGTCCCAGCTCCGAAACCCAAAGGGTTTAACACCCAGACTGCTGCTCCTAAGGTTGCTGTAACTTCCCCTGGTGGATCAAAAACCCCAGTTGCTGCAGACCAAGCAAGGTTTAGGTATGAATCGTCTAGTGACTACAAATCACCTGTTCAAACATTGAAGAAAGAGTCATCCAGTAGTCCAGTTCCTCCCAGTTCACCTTCACCATGGGAGCGAGAAAAGAAGGAAAAAGAAAAGGCGGCCAGGGAGATGGAGATGAGAAGAATGATAGATGGGGAGATTGAACACTTAGAACATATTCCAGATCGCACACCCGACCAGGAAGAGAGGCTTAAGACCTTGAAGATGGAGCAGCAGTTTCAGCAACGTGTATTGGAAATGAAAGCAAAGCAAAATGACGATGATGATGATGATTCAGATAAGGACATTAAAGACACTGCATTAGGGAGAGGCAGATTACTGCAAATGGTTCAGCAGGATTTGGAACATGCTCGGCAAAGGATTGAAGACAATGACAACCAGAGGGTGTATTATGAAGAGGAACAAGAGAGGGAGAGGTATGAGAGGCAAGAAAGGAGGTTACAACAGCTGCAGCAGGAGAGGGAAGATCAGAAGATGAGACTCCAGCAGAGGCAGGATCGTAGGGATAAAGAGCAAGAAGCATGGTTGCGAAAACAAAATGAAATGAGAGAACAGCTTAGGAGAGAAGCTGAAGAAAGCCAAAGATTGAAGAAGCTTGAAGAAGAAAGGCAGGAACAACAACGTGTTATGGAAGAAATGAGACAGAAGAGAGAAGCTGAGCAAGCAGCACTGCGCGAGATTGAGGCAAGGAGGGAAGCTGAAGAAAGGCAAATCAGGCAAAAAGAGGAAGAAATGCGAGCAAGGCATGAACAGCAACAACGAGAACATGTAGAACGAGAGAGGCGGTTAGAAGAAGAACGGCGGAGGCTTGAGAGTCAACTGCAAGGACCAAAAGATCCTAATGTCTATTATGCGAAACCGTATCAACCATACAAAGGAGATGAAGATGATGTGTTGCAGGCTACTGTGAACTCTTATCATGTTCCAGCACCAGAAAGATCACACATCGGTTCCTCGCAAGGTCCAAGTATAGCTGTTCCACCCCCACCACAGAGAACGTCTTCCTATGGCACACTGGAGAGGAATCCATACAAGCCTGAACTTGCATATGCATCACCGTCTGGTGCAAAGAAAGTGTCCTTCCATGACACTGCACAATCATATGGTGATTCAGACTATACTGGTTCAATGTACCGGACATCCAGTACAAGTAGTGGAGGATCTCTCCCCTCGCCGCCATCATCTAATTACGAACAGGAGTACAACACACCAAGTAATTCTAAGAATCATCAGACTTACACAACCGCCCCAACTCCAGGAGTCATCGGAACTCAAGAAATATACAATGACCCAAGAGCACGTATTCAAGCAGCAAAAGATCAGAAAAATCCTCGTCATCCTGAACCCCAACGCATGTCTTTCAGAGACAAAATGAAAATGTTTGCTGATGAAATAGGCGATCAGAGTCCGCTTGAGAAACCCAAATCATCAAAATGGGAACTAGAATTTATGCAGCAGCATAATAAAAGTTTGAATGGAACATGATACAATGTGTTCATTGTGACATTTGTACAGATTATATCTCCTTTTTTTCGTGAGATTCTTTTTGAATAAGTTGGAAGACGAGTATTTTTGTGAGAAATGATTAACGTTGGATCTGAAGTTGTCTTTGTGAGACACTGACACACAGCAGTGATGACTTTTGTCATGTACAGTTTTCTTAGCGGGTGTTTCAGCTAGTGGAATTGTTGCTGTGATATTTACACATGGTACAGGGCTCCCGTAGTATGTAGAACTGATGTTTTCTAGTTGTCTATGAACTGTGTGATGGAACATGGACTCTGTCACAAACAAACGTCGTGATCTGTACATATGGGTAGAGTTGCCAATAGTGATGTTGAAGTTTGAAACTATGAAATTACTGTTGTAAAAAAAAGTTCGCTGAACCAGACTCATCTGAGACGTTTTATTCAGCCCCTGTATCTTATATATAAATATGCACACTTGAATCATACCCCCTAAGTTGTTGTAAGATTCAAACCCCTTAATGTTGATACTCACTCGGATTCAAACTTCCCAAGTAGATGTTAGAAATTGAGTCCGAAGGAGAATATCAGGACAATTATGAAGCAAAGGCTAATTTTAGTTTTAGAATTTATCTTTAATATTAATCCCTTAACCAGGTGTATGTATATGAATTATAAACAACTTTTTGAAGCATTAATTTTTATGGTTAATTCTCAGCATTTGTTGAATTCTTTTTTTTTTTTTTTAGTTGTACTTCCTTGGTTGTCTCCTTGCTTCGCAGTCAATAAGTTATTTTAATACGCACACAAAATGTTATGTAATTATTGCATTAGTTCAGATTATCATGTTATTATTGCAGTAATGGTGGGCACTTATTTTTTAGGTTAATTGAAATCAAGATTATCTGTTTTTGCAGTTCCATTTATTGGCTGGTACATTGCTGAGCCCCTTTGAAAAAAATTTTGAATATTTGGTTTTTTTGTATGGTAAGTGATGAATTCATCAGGGCATGTCTTACCATTCACGTTTGTGGGTTGTGAAGAAGAAAAAAAATACATTGAATCAGGCCAATAATACAAAATTGAATTATTGCAGTTGCGGTACACTGAAGCATCGACAGCTGCCTTTCTATTTTTATATAAGGATTGGTTTTTACGGATAGTTTTTAGTGCTTTTATGACAAAAATAATGAATGCATCCTGCGTCCAATATCTCCGTTTCCCAGGAGGTATTTGTGGTGCCGTTTCAGAAGGAAATTATGGAGTGCCCTCTATTGGTGGCGCTGGGTGTTGCCTTTGTTTAGGTCTTTATTACCATCGTTTGTATAGTATTTTCATGTATGAATATTAACTCAAATGCTATTGTATGTTTTTTTTCTGAATTATAATTGACAAGTTGAATTCAGTGTAAAATAAAATGCACTTCAAATGTTATTCGTGTCTTTATTATCTCAACTAAATTTGTCCTCTGCTGCCTCGATTTGCAGTTGAACATTATCATTAGCTCTGCTTTCAACAGATCAGAGCTATTCATATTACTTTTTGTCCATTGTCCAAATTGGGTGGACCTCTCTCAGATTTGTTTCTTTTGTCTTAAAATCTCAAATTGACGAATGTTTTAAAACTGAGAGCCAAATTGCTTCGATAATTTTTATGCGAAACTAAGTGGATCTTGGTCAGATTTGTTCATTTTGTGACTATGTGTTAAATTCTCTAATTGCTATTTTTGGTAGAACTTTAAACAAAATTGCTCATTTTAGTTTTAGTGATATTAAAAAAGCTCTTTCCAACTACCGTTATACAGCGGACTTACCAACAGACTGCTTGTTTCTTTTACTAGTCTCTGTTCATTCAAACCTTTAATATTTGCAGAGTTATCTGCTTTGAAGTAATAAACTATTGCCGTTTTGGTTGAAATGGGGTTGGTATTGACTTGTTTAAATAGTACAAAATAAAATGCATTGGCCACTAGTATGTTTGACTTGGTGAGACGAGTAAATATTTGGGTAGGCAATCGCTTCAGCATTATCAAAAGGTATCATTGAAAATAACTCTTAAAAATAGCTTGGCGTTGGTGGCGTCCTATCGTAGACTCCCCTTTTGTCTGACTGTTCGATTGGTGTGTCCGGGGGGGGGGGGAAAGTTTGGAGTGCCCTCCAGATATTTCTATGTTCAGGGTTAGGGTTTGATAAAATTCTAACATTCCCATACCATTACACTCTCCGGTTTTCGGACATTTGTTTGCACTTTCTCAATAAAACTGCAAAATGTGTCGAGCAATGAATCTCGTTGAAGGACTGTGGTTGTCGCGCATCGCGTGTTCGAATTCAACCTTCACAATGCTTTTACACGCTTTGTGTACGTCGCTATTAGTCGAACAGGAAGTTGTCCGACAACCACCGCCTTTTAATACCTTGTTCACGGCACGGTTCTTTAACAACTGATGGACTGTGTTCACGGTCTTTTTTGGTGTTCTTTTACGCAGACGTAACTTTATGTGCACACTTTAAGGTTTAAACCGGCATGAAAACAAGGACTTATCATGGAACGGGGTTTATAGTTCCATGGACTTATGAAGCGTGCGTGCGGACTGGGACTGTGTCATGCATGGCTTGTTAAACTGATTTCAGTGCTCTGTCAACTATATTTATCTTATTTCAAAGTAAGCAGACTCGCAATTAGTTCAGGTTGTTATACGTTGTTGCAGGGCAGTGGTCGCGCAGCCAGTGTTCGAATTTCACGTAAACATTGTAGTATTATACTCATATTTTTGAGAAAGTTGGTCAGAAATCGCACGACAGCGTTTATTGGTCTATTGTGTAAAATCATGAAGCTATTATGAGGGGGAAATTCTTCTCCTCTGGGTTCTCCACACGTGCCAGGGGGGAATCTCGTCTGGCCTCTATATCTCGTCCCCTTGAGGTACGGGATCGGGTAAGTCACTTAAACTTTACAATCAAATAGACACGCACAACGAAATACGTTTCAACTCTCGTCTTAGTCGGTCAGTCGAGCGCTCTATAAGACACAGCGCCCTGGGGAAAAGTCCCCAAGACTATCGCAAGGCCGGCCGAAGACTCTCTCTAGACTGCCCTTAGACTCTCCTTGACTGCGTCAAGACTGCCTCAAGACTGCGTCTGTCCTCGTGTACTCGCCAAGACCAACTAAAACAACTCTTTATTCACTTTCAAAACCTTACCCAATTACAAAGCAGTTAAAAGACTCTAAGGCGTAACCTTCACACATTCAACCAATCACACTAAGTACTGGACACGTCATATCTTTTGATTAATCGTTCACAATATTAGTAACTGCGAATACCAACTGTCAGAAATAGTAGTCCGAATAGCGACGGTTATATCGTAATTAGTTCCAAATCACTGAACCAAGTTCCGTCCAGAACCTCGCATGGGCCTAAACGATGACAGATATAACATAGCCATTCACTAGTAATCAGCTAATTAAGTCGATCTACAGATACACGCAAATAATTTCATCATACTATTGTCCCATGGCACCATGAAATAGCATTAGTTTGTTTCTTACAGTGACTTATTTTGAAAAAATTGTCCCAATATTTATCGCAAATCGATATTTTTGAAAAAATTCCATAAAGCACAATTGCATTTTTCACCACTTTTTAAAACTCTGATTTTGAAATATATATTTATTCAGCCTGTCATCAGGCTACACTTAATATCTCTGCCATAGGAACCTATGGTAAAAACACTAATACTTTCAAAAATGGCCATCAACCATCATTTTCTCAAAAATTAAGCTGGTGACCCCCAACTGTTTTTAAGTCAATGTCCTTGTATTGTCCGGTAGTACAAGTTATTAAAAATGGATAAATTATGAGTATTTGAATTCATGAGTAGCACTGGTCAATAAATTGATATTTATAAATATTTTGCTATAGTATTAGATTCATGTTTTGTAGTTTTCACGTTGTTCATAATAAATTATGCCACATATTTAAAATTTATACTGATGATTTACAAGATAGAGGTGTGCTTGTGTAATGGTCTGTCAAAGCTTTTAACTAGTGTTGAATTACTAGGCTGGGAAACGCTCCTCTGTAAACATTTTTGCTGGGAAATGATTTACCAGCTTTGTTGTTAGTCCAAAACAGTTGTTCAGCTTGGAGTGTGTCTGAACCCCTCATTAGTATGCAAGAATGTAGGAATGTACCAAGAAAATTGTTTTTCTGGTGTAAATTGTAGTGTATTGTACTTATGAAAGGTCAAAAAGTGCATGGAGATTTTATGAAAATGTGTGGATGTTAACAGAATAATGTCATGTGGTCACAGTTGCGTAATAAATGATGGACTATTTTGGGCGTAGCTATAAAATGTGTCACCGAAGTTCTTGACCGCAGTACGCTTGACTATGAACTTCCACATACCCACGCTTATGGGAATAGTGCATCGTGAGTAATACTGTATTGATTGAGGTGAAACAAACATGGTTGCCGAAATGGCTGTTCGACTACATCGCTCGTGTTTCTCTTTCTGTCTTAGAGTTCTCTGTTTTCTTTGATTTTTTATATTTCAATTAAACAGCGATTTGGCTGTGACCATGCATTTAGTCATTGTCGACTGTTTTTCTCGAATTGGTTGATTGTCATAGCAACATACGCTAAGTACAATTAAACGACTAGTCCGGAGTTGAACAGTAGTCATTTCAAACATGCTTATTTAATTTAGTTTAATTCCTTCAGTTAAAAATTGA